CTATCTATCTATCTATCTATCTATCTATCTATCTATCTATCTATCTAGTGTTATTACCCTTCTATTATTATATGCCAATACACTGTCTGGATTTAAAATTACTAAATATAGGCTTCATTTGTGCCTTGCTTTTTGCAAGTATATAGTTTTATAAAGGTAGTTTTTGCTTATCAATGATAATTGTTATCATTGTAATGGACTGTAATTTCCATTGCTAAGTGATGTGATCATAAAGTACAATGCCATGTGACATATCCCTTAGTGGTGGTAGTTCCATCAGTCCCCTGTTGCTGTCATTAAGTGAATCAACATGGATTGTTAATGAGGATCTCATTTGGTTGCGACTTCCAACTTCTTGCCAGCTGTTGCTATTGCTATGTGACTGCAGGGAAGCTGTAAGGGCCAGAATTTCAAAAAACGGTCATAAATGCCACTCATTTTATGCCAACATAAGTTTAAATGGCTGCTGAATCAGTGGTCATTAACCAAAAATTACCTGTAATGCCTCCATCAACTTTTTATCAATCCTCTGTGTTCCATGTGTTGGGACAATGACTTGTCCCAGCTGATTTTTATTTTGCATATATCTTTAATCTAGATTTACTAACCAGATTTTATTGATATATTACACCTGGGTGTATTTTCCCACCTGAAACCCACATTCTCCAGGCTGACTGGAGAAAGCATTGTTAGAAAGCTGAAAGTGCTCAAGATTTATACAATTCTATGTTCAAACTGGGTCATCAGGTTGTTTCAAGAGTGATGGAACAGAAGCCAGAATCATTGTTAAAATTACCTTACTTTCCTCAACTATAGTTAAATATTACCTACTATGAATTTAGCTTTGTGTATAGTCTTTATAGTTAGTTGAAAATGGACAGTTAAAAATAGGAAACCAGTTTCTCTGCTGTCTGTGCATGCATAGAACTAAGCAAATAATTTGAAGGTTAATGTAACATATGTAGTATGTGCAAGGAGAACTACTCTGTATATAACCTGGCAAGTTGATACTTCAAACTGTTACTATCAGTTTGAGGAGAACTTTAAAAATAAATTAATAATATTGTGGACGGGAGGAAGAAAGTTTCCTGAGATGGAAAGATAGTTCTGTAACTAAGGCGATATGATTTCTTTGGAGTTGCAAATTTAGGGGTGTGATTGAAGAGTAAATGTTTTGTTACTTCAGTGTAATATTCTTTCTTTCTTTCTTTCTTTCTTTTTTTTTTAACCAAGAAGGTGACTTGTGGCTCAAGTATCTCTGCCTGTGCAGTCTAGGGAGTTTTTAAAAAGTAAATCCTAGAGACATGTGCCACATGGTCTTTTGAATCAATATTCAAGAACCCAATTTAGCATGGCTACTTCCTAAGAAATAGCAGTAGCACTTAGACTTATATACCACTTTACAATGCTTTACAGCCCTCTCTAAGCAGCTTACGGAATCAGCATAATGCCCCCAACAATCTGGGTCCTCATTTTACCAACCTCGGAAGGATGGAAGGCTGAGTCAACCTTGAACCCGATGAGATTCGAACTGCCAAATTGGCAGTCAGCCGGCAGTCAGCAGAAGTAGCCTGCATTCTAACCACTGGATGGGCACAATCTTAGAGAAAATATATCCTTTAGAGCATCTCCTGTAAAAAGGGTTGAGAATTGTGGTTTCTACTTGGCTCAGCAGTCCTGATCCTCTAAGTGAGCAGGAAGAAGTACCCAGAGAGTAAATTGATCCAAGATGAATCTAGAAATGTATTACTCCATGAAGAAATACGTACAGCCGAAGTTTTAGCAGGCAAGAGAAACAAGGATAAAGAGAAGTGGACCAGCCTGATGCTCTCTAGATATGCTGGATTAAAAGTATCAACATCCCCAGCCAGCAGTGTCAAGAATTTTTAAAAAGGCATCGAATTAGAGAAAGCCAATATAACATAAAGCACAGGTACGAAGTACACAGAATAGAATAGAATTCTTTATTGGCCAAGTGTGATTGGGCACACAAGAAATTTGTCTTGGTGCATATGCTCTCAGCGTACATAAAAGAAAAATAAAATATATTCATCAAGAATTGTAAGATACAACAACACTTAGTGATAGTCATAGGTTACTAATGCGGAATCAAATCACACTACAAATCAAATATTACAACATACATTGTAAAGATACAGATAAGATGAGTTTGTGTTTGCAAATAAGGATGGACAAGTGACAGTGATATTGTATCTTGTTGGATGTTTCTGGGCAGAGTAGGCAGAACAAACATTTGCAGCAGGAAAGGATTATGGGCAGAGTCTGAAAAGGGGTGGATATGTTGCCAAACAAACAAAGCCATACGGTGCCTTTATCCAGATTTTGTTTTTATACTTTTCTATAGCTAATAACAAGAGTAAATAAACCAGCTGACCAAAACTGATTTGTGTCCAATACTCTACAGGCGGGACTCTTAGACCCCATAGCCAAGTAAATGGGATCTGAAGAGGACCACGGTATTTATTGGGCCATCCAATTCGGGCACTGAAATACTGAGGTTTTCAGCAAGTTTGAGGCTCTCCGTGCTTAAAGGAAGTACCTGTAAAACTTCTTTGATCAGGATGAGCTCAGGGCCATCCTAAAAGTTTTGAGGAAGGGTTAGGATCTTTTGCATAATCCTAGTTACACTTTCATGTTTACCGACCCATTTTGTTTGGAATCAAGAGACCCAGAACTGCAGCAGCCAAACTGGAAGACCTCAGGGTGCCAACCTGCACAAATGTACTTGGGAGCAAGGCTCTTAATGCATGTGCAGAGTGCAAAATGCGTACAAAAAAAGGGTGGGGGTTACATCCTAAGCACGCGCCTTAGTTGTTATCAGAGGAGACCCCACCGAACAAGCACCGGCTTCACTTTACATCCCACCGCGTTCCTCCACCCCCCCTTCCCGACCCTCCCCGCTCACCGCGTGCCCCCCCAAAAGGCTGGAGGGGCTCAGGCCTTCTTCCCCGCCGCGCCCCCCACTTTCTCTCCGGTTCCTACCTGTGCTGCAACCCCACCAGCCCCAGCGTGATCACATGGGGCACATCCAGCTCGGTGGGCCACTGGCCCGCGGCGAGGCAGCCGAAGACGCCGCATTCCTCCCCGATGCCCAGCTCCTCGAATTCCATGGTGCACGAGGCCAACACGTGTTTTAGACTCGGGTGCGTGTGTCTGTGGGTTGGCGTGTGCGCGCGCGGATGCTACACGCAGCGGCTCCCTTTCGCTGTCGCTTCAAGCCGCTGCTGCCGCCTGAGTTTGTGGGAAAGAAGGAGGAGGAGGAGGATGAGGAGGCGGGCTTGGCCGTTGCAGCGCCCCTTATTCCTACACCCGCCTTATTTACATACATACACACTCACACGGGAAGGGGGGGTGGCGGCCGGGTTGTTTTCTGGGCAAAGGAAGCGCCGCCTGATGGGGGTCGAGCGCCTGAGGCGGCGTGGGGGGGGGGGAGGAACAGGCGCCCTTTGCAGTCCGCTTTTCGTCGAAACTTTAAAAAAAAAAGTTTGGCAGTGGGACTTTTCCTTCCTTCCCTCCCTCCCTCATCTTTTCATTTCCCCTCCCCACTCCTCTCACCCGCGTATTAAATTTGGGGTGTGTGTATGTTGTGTGTCTTTAACTTTTCGCACTTTGGGGTCAGGGGTGAGGGAGACAATTTCTGCCTGAGGGAGCTTCTTTTGAGGGAGGGGGAAAGCTTCCCACCCTCACACGGGTCCGTGGGTGAACTTTGGCGCGAAAAAGCCCCCCCCTCTTCCCCGGGGCCTGAGTGGGAGGTGAGAGAATCCTGGAAAACAGGGCGTGAGGACTGGGGAAGGGCGCAACTTGGCTTCCCGCGTACCGGATAACAGCGCTGCCCAGAGGCCGGGGGGGAGGGGGAGGCGGAGGGGCGGAGGTGGAAGCTCCTCGCCGATTGGAAGGCCGAGGTAGCCGAGCCACCTTCTTTCTTCCTTTCCACCCCCCGCCATTGCCCCCAACACCCTCAGCTCGGGGAAGGACGAATGCGCCCGGGGTGGTGCACTTCGGAAGGGCGCCACCCCCCCGCGCTCAAGCCGCCTCCATTGGGTTGGGTGGGCTGGGCGGCTCAATCTCCACCCTCCGCTTCGCCGGCCCCTTCCGCTGCTGCCCCTTTTTCTTCTTACCGCGGCCCCGCCGCCAGTTCTTTCGGCCGCCCCCCAACCCCGAGAGAGTTTCTGGGTCCACCCTCCCCCTCTTCTCGGAAAGCGCGCGCGGGCTTTCCTGTCAGGTGGCGTCGCGCTGAGCTTCTCCTCTCCTCACCTGTGTTTGCCTTTTCTACTTTTTTTCCCCCCTCTCTTTTTTTTAGGCGTCCCGGACCTGCGCTCCCTTCGCCGCCATGCCTCCGATACAGTCAGGTGAGTGGGCTTCGGCTCGCCTCCGCGGTAAAAGGCGCGCCGCTTGGACGGAGTCGAGGTGGCCGCCGTGCGCTGGGGGTGGTGGGCGCCCGAGGCAGCTGCCGCCGCTGCTGCTGCTGCTTTTCCCGCCCTTGGCGGGGTTGCACCTTCGGGAAAGCTGCCGGAGTTTTCGAAAGAAGCCACCCTTTTTGAGGGGGAAAGAAGAAGAAAAAGGGTGTGTGTGTGTGAGCTCTGGACTAGCCTCCCCACATCCTGAAAAGGGCGAGCAGAGATTTGCGTTGCAAGGCGGATCACATTGGGGACCATTCGCGCGCTCCTCATACGTGGATAAGAGGCGCAGGTTCAAAAATAAGAAAAAATAATAATAAAAAAGGATTCCCTTACTGCCCGTCGGTGCAGAGATCTAACTTTATCTCTGCCACCAAGGGGGCAGGAAGGAATCCTCTTTTTAAAATATATATATATATATATATTTTTGACCTAAGCCTCTTGCCTAGGACTCCAGGAATGGCTCCAATGGGATAAGCCTCCAAAGACCCTCTTAAGCAGGAGACGTCAACCTTTTGGACCTCAGGGACCACCAAAACTCATAATTTTAAACCCTGCAGACCACTAATATGAATTTTGACGGATGGTGGCATGCTGACATTGGTGACAAAGTTGGTCCCACATTCCAGAGCTGCAGTAAGTCACAGGACTGGCCCTTTGGTCATCCCGGAGCAGCTGCTGCTCCTCCACCCGGGGGTGCATCGGTCTGCCATGGACTGGAGGAGCTGCTCCGGGATATCCAAAGGGCCAGTCCTGTGACTTACTGCAGCTCTGGAATATGGGACCGACTTTCCCACCACCCTCAGCAAGCCACCCCGGGGCGGATTTCCTCTCCCGCCATTGGTCTTACTTTCCACTTCCAGCTCACATGGCTCTACTCAAGGTAAGGTTTGCGCTCGGCCAAAGGGTGGGGGCCGTGTGGGCAGCGCAGCCTTGTGTTCCCATGCAGCCTGGATTAATTGCTTTGGGGGGGGTCACATTTCTCTGCGGACCACCAAAATTTTCTCATGGACCACCATTGGTCCTTGGCTCACTGGTTGGCGACTACTGCTCTAAAGCAAGGGGTCTCCAATCTTGGCAACTTTATGACTTGTGGACTGCAACTCCCAGAATTCCTCAGCCAGCTTTGCCAACTTTAAGACTGGTGGATTTCTGGGACTTGAAGTCCACTAGTATTAAAGTTGCTGAGTTTGGAGATCTCTGCTCTAAAGGATGCAAATGACCAAATGGCCATCAAGGGAATATAAATCCTTCCTTTCTCCACTATCCAGTCAGGGCTAAAGAAACTTCTTGGATGAGACCTGAAAAATGGCTTTGAAAGAAAGAAAGAAAAGTTCAGTTGCCTCCTGAAAAGACTATTTCCAATGTCCACCTTTGGGACTTGTGATAGCATCGCAATGTGTGCAACGCAATCTCTGTCTGCCAATTCTCAGGTTGGATCGGGTGGGCCTGCTGGCTGTGCTGCCTGGAGTTATAGTCCCCTTAAATTTGGGAGTTTTAAGCCAGTTCTGAAAACTTGGCTGTCTATGCTGGTATTTCTCTTCAGCTTGTTTATTTCCCCATGGTTGGTCTCTGCTAGAATGGGAAATGAAACAAGCCATCCAAATATCTGATGGGAAAGAGGTGAAGCGAGTGCTGAATATTCTCCATTTGGGTTTTGGATTGAATGCATTATGCAGACTGGAGGGAGGCTGCAGTGTTCAGGTAGTCCTCAGCTTACAACAGTTCATTGAGTGACCAAAGTTACAACGGAACTGAAAAGTAACTGATGGCCATTTTTCACGCTTACAACCATTACATGGTCATGTGTTTTACATTTGGATGCTTGACAAGTGGTTCATATTTACGACGATTGCAGTGTCCCAGGGTCATGTAATTTATCTTGTGTGACCTGACAAGCAAAGTCGATGGGAAGCCAGGTTCACTTTAACAACTGTGTTACTGATTCAACAACTGCAATGATTCACTTAACAAATGTGGCAAGAAAAGTTGTGAAATGGGGCAAAACTCACTTAACAAATTTCTCAGTAACATACATTCTGCGCTCAATTGTGGACAAAAGTCAAGGTCTACCTGTACTTTATATTCACTCAAGGGGTGATTGGTGCTTCTGCCTCTACTGTTCATTAGTTAACATAGCCATCTAATTTATTATACCATATTCAGGACCCAAAGTTAGGCAAAGTTTTTGTTGGACTTTTCCCTTATAGTTCTGAAGATTTTACATCCTGATAAAGTCTCCCATTATGTACGGTATGCAATTTTAGCAATATGGAACTTCAAATTCAGAACACCTGCAATATATATGTGGGATATATTAGAACAACAGCCTTTGTATGTATCAATTTAAGATTTGGATGGACAGTTTAAGTGAAGATTTCCAACATCTACATTAAAATAATATCTTAGTCAATTCAAAGTTCACAATATTTTTCAAATCTTTGAGATGTCTAGGTAATATTGCCAAGTAAGCTGCTTTAAAAAGATGAATGGACTTAGGAAGAAAAAAATCAGAAATCTGTGCAGAGAAGTGTAATACAGAAGGAAATGATGTTCAACTTAGATTTTTTTCCATGGTACTCATAACTAGTTTTATAAATAAAATCTAGTTATTGCTCATAACTATCACAATCTTTAGTAAAACACACAGATATCTCTAAACCTCGTTGAATTTGTTTTCCTAAAATTAACACTGGAACATTCCATTATATATAATTGCTATCTTTGTTTTTTAAAGTTTTATTTTTCCAGAAAAGATTTAATTGTTGCAGAAATGAATGATCTGCTTATTAAGTTTTCTAGGTGTACCATCTGGATATAAATCCTCTCTATACCTTTTTTTAATGAGTCCATTTTTTATCTAGTTATATTTGACCAAGGATAATCCTGTAGAAATCTTAAAGGGTACAATGAATGTAAACTTGCAATCAACTTCTTTCACCAATACATCAATAATAAGTCAGCACTACACAGTTTCACTTGTCACAAGTGTCATAGTGGTACTTTATTTATGAAATGCTCCTTTCTTTACCATATAATAACTTTATGGGCATAAAGTTTATTTCATGTCTATCTTGAAAGGAAGAGTTTTGTTAAGTGTGGCTACTAAATAAACTAGTTCAATTCAAGTTATGCAAAATATTACCCACCATCTTGAAATGTTTATATTGCTGCCCTCTTGGGACTGTCTATTACAAATTATTTGTTCATTTAGAGTTTTACCTTATTGCTGTCTTGCTAGTAAATAGAGTCATTGAAGGAATAACATTTTAGTCAAGAACAAAAGGCAGGGCAAAGATGCTTAAGAGCCATTCTCACTCCTTTACTCACAACTTGGCAAATCTAGTGGCCCTTAACATGGGGCTTATTCTAAGGCTCAAGGGCTTTTTGTGGTCCCCAGAGCTATTGATGACTATGGCTCCTGAAAATTAGTAGCAGTTCCCCAGGACTTTGGGGCGATAATAAAAACTATATTGTAAGCACTAAACTAGGTTTAACTCGGTTAAAGAACAAAACCTTTCCCTTTTTTCAAGATCAGCTCTGTATAAAGATTCTGGTGAACTTTGGAATATCATTTTGCCCAGTAAAACTCCTTATTATCCTGAAATGTGAAGGGAGGCCCCAAATCTATAAAAGCTTATGACAATTCAACATATGAGGTTGGCTGTCTTCGTGCCTTAAACCAATCAAGGGTGGCTCCTAAAATGTTCTTGTAAGAAGAGCACAACGTACAGTGATTGCAGCCATGTTTGCTTGGTTCATAGGAAAAAGTTGAGATTTCATTTTGAGGGAAAAGGATAACTGATATGCAGAAGTCACCGTTCAATGGGTAAACTGTCCTTGTGTAAATAGAAGACATTTAGCAGATATTCTCATATAGAGTTAAAACCAGGGCAAAAGATTAATATAGACTTATTTTTCTTCATAAATGCATGTGGAGAATTGCTACAGCTTGGAAACTGAACAGGCAGCACAAGAAAAGTATAGAAGGGTTTGCTCTTCATGGCTATCTGGATTATTTGCTAAATTGCATTCAGCAATCCATTTGTTACCATAGGAACTAAAAAGACTTCAACTTTGTTTCCTTCTCAGCAGGCTTCTTATAGTCTTATACTCTTTCCCCCTCTATCAGTTAAAAGCAACACCAAAACAAGCCTTTTACAACATTCACAGCTCATGCTAAGACATAATGTGTCTTCTTTTTAAAAAAGAGTAGCTAAGTTTGACAAAAGAACACATGCTGAGAATAAAGACATGGTCAAACGAAACAAGGCACGAAATGAATGACTGTGGTCTTTGATATTCAAAACGAAGCGTTAAATTGCAGACAGAAGAATGCTTCCCAAATTTAAGATGCCCTAAATAAAGTGAAAATTTCTTTATAAACATGCACAAATTTGTTGTATAAACTTTTTAAAAATTCAATGTCTTGTTTTCATTTACGTTCATGATGTAAAAAATATCTCCCTTCCCCGATTATTTCTCCAGAACTTAAACTGGGCAAAAAAATAAATGAAGGAAAAACAAAAGAAGTGTATGAGTTGCTGAATTACCCAGGATGTGTTCTGCTGCAATCAAAAGACCAAATAACTGCTGGAAATGCAGCTAGAAAGAACATCATGGAAGGGAAGGCTGCAATCTCAAATACAACAACATCTTGTGTGTTCCAGTTGCTTCAAGATTCTGGTAGGTGGTGGAAAAGTTAACCCTCATGCAGGATAGTAACCTTGTATATAAAGCAATAATGGCCTCACTATATGGAAACTCTTTGCTATAGGAAACTTTCGTGCTAATTTTTCTTGGTTTTATTATAATTGTAAGAGATCTTGTGACTATGCTGAAGGAACATAGGACTTTCAAGAACACAACAGTAACTCTTTATTTTACATTTAAAAATATGAGTTAGTTTCTCCATAGATGAGTCACATTAAATATTTGTCCCTTATATCATTAAGTAACATCGACAGCCATTGGAAGGAGATATTGGAAAGTTAAGCATTGGAATTTAACATATACTTCCAAACGCATTGATGAGGAAAACAAGTTTTAAGTGCTTATTATTGGCTGTTTTAAACTAAGTTGGGTTTTCCAGATTTATAGTCCTAGTCAGATCATAACAATTTGATACAAAACAAATTGGAATGATCAGAATGTTTAGTAAAAGTGGAGATAATAGTTCCTGGCTTGTTACTGCATAGAGAAGACAATAGAGCATAACATCTGTCAATTCAATTATTCCACCATGGCATGAACACAGTCTCCGTTGAAAGGAGGTTTTTTGTATCTTCCTTCTGTAATGGCTGTTGGAAGGGCACTGAATCTGGCTAAAGAAGAAGCATTTTTGAATGTTGGGATCGTTACCTGACCGAGATATCTGGCTGGTTGGAGATGTGTAGAATGGCTCATGGAGGTTTTTTCTGGGCAGGGCCGAGAAGTCTGCTCTAAATCAATGGCCCCTCTTTGAGATCACTTAGACCAGTGGCCCTCAACCTTTTTTGAACCAGGGACCGGTTTCACGATTATTTTTCCATGGACCGGTACCTGAGTAACGCGAGACTCCACCGCCATCGGGACGGCTCTTCGTTCGAAGCCGCCCCCCCCTTCGACGAAACTAAGGCGTGAGCACCCAAACACCGCTTTCCAACTGAAAACCCAGAAGCACTTTCCAACCGAAAACCCGCAAGCAACCAAAAACCCGGAAGCGCCGTCGAAACAAGATGGCGGCGCCCAAGCTTTGCGGCCCAGTAAAAAATGATCCACAGACTGGTACCAGTCTGGGGACCGGTGGTTGGGGACCCCTGACTTAGACCACTAGAGGACATTCATAACCCATTAAGCCCAGGCTAATTCTATAACCATCCCAAAAACAAGACTTGGTTATGTTTCTATGTAGAAGCTTTGAAAAAGTGGTTTAAGACCACCTAGTAATATTTACATATGCATTTCCCTGCCACTGCATCTATTTATTTACTCATTCATTTATATCCCACCTTTATTATTTTCACAAATAATTCAAGATGGCAAACATATCCAACATAACCCAACTGCTCCGGTTTTCCCCACAGCAAAACCTTGTGAGGCAAATTGGACTGAGACAGACTGGCTTAAAATCACCCAGCTGGCTTTCATGGCTAACCCAGCACTTGAACTTGTGGTCTTCTGCTGTGATTTCTTACAATCTATACCAGGGGTCCCCAAACTTGGCAACTTTAAGACTTGTGGACTTCAACTCCCAGAATTCTCCAGCCAGGAGAATTCTGGGAGTTGAAGTCCACAAGTCTTAAAATTGCCAAGTTTGGAGACCTCTGATCTGTGCTGTGATTTTTTTTCCTATTTACATTGCACAAGTTTTAATAACTTGGTTTAAAACCCTTAAGTGTGAGTTATTACAATTGTTACAACCTCAGCCATGAAACATTTGGTTGAAATTATAATCCTTGCATTCTGTGTCAAAAATTGCATATCAAAGTTACAATCATACTTGGCCAGTAAAGAATTCTATTCTAACTATCCTGTTAAGTCTTGCAGGCTACTGATTACCAAAAACAGATTTGCATCAGTTTATTAAGTTGTACTTCCAAACCTTGCCTCACATTAGTATGTTATGAAGAAATGCTGCTTTGAGTAAGTTTAAGGATTAAAAATTAACATGATGGAATCCTTTCTAATGTTCCAATTTCTCCCCGCTCCATGGAGTGTTGCAACATTTTATAATATTCTGTGGCAAACCTCTAGCTTATTAGTGCCTTCCTGCCTCATTAACAAGCAAAAGTGTTGCATTTGGTACAAAAAGAAAAAATATATCTATGGCCACTGATTTTGGGAATCCATTCATGTCTATCCATTCATGCCTTTTTGTATGACTAATATAGTTTTGGTAATAGGACTGCATTTCCTTAAAAAAAAGTGAAGTTTCCTTTCAGGCATGCTTCCTGCTAATTTCATGGAGTTGTTAAAATTGTTTCATTGCATCAGAATAGATATTACTTGTTTTCAACTTTGTAGTCTAATCTGTACTTCTGTGGTTCCTTGAAGTTCTCTTGAAGTCAAATGCCAACCTCTGGTTAGTTTTGGAACTTTGGCAAGATCAGAAAGTTGCTGCCACCTGCATGATTGGTAGTGAATGAGTAAATAATAGATTTCCCCACAGCATGAAATCAAATACTAACACATAAACAATAATTAAAAAATTGGTTGGAGGCAAATTGAAAATATAATAGACTAGATCATTTAAGACATAGAAAAAGTGAGATTTTTCCCAGCTGAGCGGCTAGAAATTGTCAACATTGTTCTTGGCAAGTTGATTAACATTAATGTTTATAATAATTGGTTAAAATCACATTGCTGAGGAATGATTTAAACCTTTTTTAAACCCAATACTAGCTGTGCTATTACATTGGAAAGACACTTTTTCCTTCCTAAGCCCACCTAAAGTTTAAAAAGTTCCTGTTTATAGTTTCAAGTTCAGGGAATCATGCCCTTAAATTTTTAATGGAAGTTTTTAAAATTAAATTATGCTCTACAATGTCTCTAAATCCAAGCCAATTTTTTTTAAAGTTTTAGTCACTTTGCCACTCTTGGTTTATAAAATCTTCTCAGTCTGATCTAATAAAAACAATTCCTATTCTGTAAGTTTGAAACTAACAGATTGCTTAGATAAAGGTAAAATATTGCTTAGATCTAGGTAGGTAAAATATGCTTGGGATTTTCATAAAAAGCAATATGTTTTTCTCATCTGGATGAAGATCCCAGGTCTCTAGGTTTTTTCATTGATTTTTTTGCACAAAAATGGCTCACTCCTTATTTCTGTTTTAGAACGTAGGTTGCATATTTTACTTATTAGCAATTGAGATACAGAAGACTGTTTTGATGAGAAAGTTTTATTACAGGCATCAAAACGGCTTTTGTGAGAAAACACAGCGATACAGCATTTATGGCTGCTCACTGCGAAATGATTCCGATTGAATGGGTTTGCAGGAGAATCGCCACTGGTTCTTTTCTGAAGAGAAACCCTGGTGTTGAAGAGGGCTACAAATTTTATCCACCTAAAATCGAGCTGTTTTATAAGGTGGGTAGTACAAACATGAAATGGAACTGACAGTTTTATATCACCTTTTTGAAAGCTTGAACCTCAAGCTAATCGTGTGTTTCAGTTAAACATCCTAACCCAAGCCTTCCAAAAACAATTCCTCCCCCTGCCAAATACTGTCACTCAGTACTGATAGAATTTTGCAATATATACATGATCCTCAAAAACGGTCTTGATTCTTAGACTCTAATATGTGTGTGTGTGTGTTTTATTTATATACACACACACACACACTATTTTTAATTGTTAAAAAAACATTTGTATTCATGCCCAAGATGCTAATCATAGGTATGTCAATTAAGAACGTCTGTGTTTGTGTACATGTAGTCCTCAACTTACAAACATTCATTTAGCAACTGTTTGGAGTTACACCACCACTGAAAAAAAGGGACTTGTGACTGATCCTTGTGCTTACGACCATCACAGCATCTCCAAATTTGGAAGTTGGCAACTGGCATAGAGTTACTATGGTTGCAATGTCCTAGGGTCATGGGAAGCCCATTTGCAACCTTCCTAGTCAGATTCTTGACAAGCAAAGTCAATTGAGGAAACTTGATTCCCTTAATGACTGCATGATTCAGTTAACAACTGCAATGATTTGCTTAACAGCTGTGGCAAAAAGGGTAACATCAGATGTAACTCTCTTAACCAACTTTTTAGCAACAAAAATTCCGGTCCCAATTATGATCGTAAGTTGAAAACTGCCTGTAATAACTTCAAAAAAAAATTGTTTTGTGTTGAGTGAAAACTCAAATAGGCAACCTATTTTTCAGTCTGAGAGCATTATCTCTTTAGACCTCTGGCAGGAATGATCTCTTTCTAGTCTGGCCACCTGCACTGGGAAGCATCTGTCAGAGGAGGCCACAAGAGAGCAAGCAGCATCACACCTCATCATATCATTCTGCAAAAAATTCTCAAACTACATCATTTGAGACAGCGGCCCCCCAACCTTTTGGGCACCAACCTTTTGGTTTTGTGGAGAAAGGGGGCGTGGTTTTGCACGCTGCCTGCATCACGTTGGATGGGCTTTGCTTGTTTGCGTGGTCCGGTTGATGGCTTGTCCATAGACAGGAGGTTGGGGACCCCTGGTTTGAAAGAAGTCGTGCATGGCATTATAGAGGTGTCTACTGGTTATATAAAGCAGGAAAGAAGAAAAAGTGCTATCAGAAAGGCCCGCCCACCCAAATACTATGGATATTAGTAAAAAACTTAAATATTATCAAATTTTGGATAATCAAGGGAGGCTTAAGACAGCCCAAGAATTAGAAACCCAAGGAATAACTATGGATTGGTGGTCGTATCTTCAAATACAGATGAGATATAAAAAAGATTTAAAAGAATTTGGATTTGAAACAAAAACAACTCAATTAGACAGATTATTGTTGGGACCAGAAGAAAAAATGATGCCGAAATTATACTAATTACTTACTAAATTTTGATCTAGAAGAGGAAATTGTAAAAGGACCAATGCTAGCGTGGACAAAAAAAATCGGTTACAATATAAAATTGGATGAATGGGAAGAAATATGGCAAAAAAATCTCTCCATGACAAAATCAGTTGCCTACAAAGAAAACTTATACAAGATGCTTTACACATGGCATTTTGGCACACTCCAGACTCACAAAAATGTATCCCAAATTAAACCTGAACTGCTGGAAATGCAAGAGAACACAGGGTACCTTCTTCCACGTCTGGTGGCTATGCTCAGAAATTAAAAAATATTGGCCCAAGATAAAAACATGGATAGAGGAAATTACCCATTATAGGTGGGAGTGGAAGCCAGAATTATTTCTCCTGCAAATCATTAAAGAAAAATGTTCCCCTAAAATTAGATATTTGATTACACATATACTAATGGCGGCATGAATTGTGCAGGCTTGGAAGATGTCTACCACACCATCTAACGACGTTATAATTCACAAAATTTTAGAATGTGCAGAGATGGATAGGCTCACGCTGAAATTAAATGATAAGGAGGTCTCAGAGTATTATTTAATTTGGAACATTTGGTACCAATGGTTAGACAGTAAAGTACAATAAAGAAAGGTTACAAAAGGAATTTAAAAAGAAGAAATAAAGGAAATAAAATTGGAATATTAGCAAACCAGGTGAGGGAGAAGTTATAGAAATTGAGGAACTGCTAGGAAAACAAGATTTAGATAGACATTTAGATTAGGATTTATAATTACCTAGATATACTGTAGAAATATACAGAAATATGCAATAATGAATGATAAAAATGTGTTCCCTTCCTCCTCCCATACTTACGGAATATTAAACTACAGCACATAGCCTATAAATATTCTTGATGTTTGTTTTAGATATATATACATATATTAAGTGTCAATATTATATTCTTTTTTCTCTTTTGTTTTTCTTTTCTTCCCTTTTTACTTGAATTAGTGACCCATAAAGATGATGTAGCTTTGTTTATTAACATTAATTAAGAACTGTGAATTAATATAGTTAATATGGGTGGGAAAACTGTCAAATTCTAAGTGTACATATGGTACTTAGTGTGCCACCAAGAAAATGATATTGAAAGATATCAGTGTAATTTCTATTACAGAAACTTTTGTAAGCTTTTTAGCACTTTGCTTTTTGTAAACTTTTTAATATCTTGAACTTTAATAAAGTACTTTTTTAAAATTAAAAAGAAAAAAAAGGCCCGCCCACCCAAAACAATCACTTACAGGACCGTACAGTGAAAACTGTTGCTTGCTTCTGTGCGGAATGGAGAAATTGAACTTTATTGCTAATGATGATATAAATTATTCCAACAAAATCTCACTTTTCATCACAGGATGATGCAGCAAATGATCCACAGTGGTCTGAAGAGCAACTCATTGAAGTTAAGTTGAAGCTTGCAGGCCTTGAAATCGGACAAACGGAAGTAGATATCATGGCACAGTCCACCCGAGCCATTTTTGAAATTCTTGAAAAAGCATGGCAACCCCAGAATTGTACGCTGGTGGATTTGAAGGCACGTACATTTATATTCTAGATCTTGGCTTTTAAAGTAAGGGAGAAATGATTGAATTCAACTAATCTTTCCTTTCTTGTGTCGTGTTTCCATTTTTAGGTTGAGTTTGGTGTTAATGTAGCCACAAAAGAAATTGTCCTTGCTGATGTAATTGATAATGATTCTTGGAGGCTGTGGCCATCTGGAGATAGAAAACAACAAAAGGACAAACAGGTAATTCTGTTTTCAGTGCAGATTCTGAAAATAAGCCAATATTGCAATTTTCCAAGGTATATGTCTCTGTGCTGTGTGAAATCTCCTTCTATTCTTCTGTTTGTTTCTTCACATCAAACAGAAGATGGGAAAGAAAATGGAGGAAAGCCAAATTCTACAGTTAAAATTGGAAAAATATTAGTTATCTTTCCTTCTGCTAATTTATTTGTTTTCTGATAGACGTTTCAAATATCCGAAAATAAAATCCCTAATTACATTTCAATTAAAATAGTGAAATACACACACACACACACACACACATACACCATATATGTGTGTGTGTGTGTGCATGTATGTATCATGTTAACTTAGACTTTTCTAATTAATAATAGTTCTGGCAATGATATTGAACATTTTTAGATAATAGCTATTAATACCAATAAATTCTAACTATAAGAAGAAATGGGCAAATGCAAAATTCATATTCCAAAATATTGTTTACCTCATAATGAGCTATGAAAAGCATCCTTCAGATATGCTGTGGAGTCTGGGGCTACTATTTGATGTAAACACATATTATGTGTTAAATGTTAGTTACAGCATAGTGAAGTATATCTGGCGGTATAGAAGATCTAGATAAGCAGATGGCCTTGCCTCTGAGTCATAGGTAAATCTTTGGAAGCTTCAAAAAGGAATTGGGAAGACACCAACAACTTATAACTCACATTTTTGATCTTTACATTGGACTTCTGGGTGAAAACCAGATTATAAATATGTGTATAGACTTGTCAATTAATTGTAGTATTGATGGTTTACATAGGTATGAGGTAGATGAATAGTTTGCATTTTATATGTAATCTTTTGTTCTTTTGTGTTTGCTTTTAGTCTTACCGTGACCTCAAAGAAGTGACGCCTGAAGCACTGCAAATGGTGAAAAGAAACTTTGAATGGGTGGCCGAAAGAGTGGAGGTAATGACACCATCTATGAGATACGGATAGGGATAATCCATATCATCATTTTCCTTACGTTTAAATTGTCTTTTGATCTTCTTTTCTATTAGCTGTTATTGAAACCACAAACTCCACAAGGCAGGGTAGTTGTCCTCATGGGTTCCACTTCTGACCTTGGTCACTGTGAAAAAATTAAAAAGGCGTGTGGCAATTATGGTGTGTCTTGTGAATTACGAGTGACCTCTGCTCACAAAGGACCAGATGAAACACTGAGGATCAAAGCTGAATATGAAGGTACCGAACTCCAATTTGTCTATTTTAGTGAACTATATTGTTTAAGTTCAGTGGCAATCTCAAAATAATTCCTGTTTTAAAAAAAGAAAATTAATGTAGAATCTGTTTAGGTGAGCATGTTTGTATCACATTGATACGTTTTTGTTTGTGTTAACAGGGGATGGGATTCCCACAGTGTTTGTTGCAGTGGCTGGGAGAAGCAATGGCTTGGGACCCGTGTTGTCCGGAAATACTGCTTATCCAGTTGTCAATTGTCCTCCTCTCTCACCTGATTGGGGTGCCCAGGATATATGGTCATCCTTGAGAATGCCTACTGGTAAGGTTTATCATTTGAACACTTTGAACCAATTTGGTTTAGTTTAATTTATTGTCATTGCACCTCGTACAACAAAATCAAACACCACCTTCAGTGCATATCACGACCATGACCATGAAAATAAACACAAACACACATCCTTCACCCTCTCCACACATTGAACTGGAAACCACCAACACCACACCAACACTGCACTATATATAGTAGAATTCAACAGAGCTACTGCCCTGGGATAGAAGCTGTTTTTCAGCCTGTTTGTCCTTGTTTTTATTATTCTGTACCGTCTGCCAGATGGTAATAGTTCAAAAAAATGGGGTGCCCAGGATGAGATGGATCTTTGAGAATGTTTTGAACTTCCTTAAGGCAGCAGGAACTATTCAGCTCTTCCAAAGAGGGGAGAGGGCAACCAATGATCCTCTGGGTAGTGATGTTAACCCTCTGGAGTGCTGTCCTATCTGCCTCTGTGCAATTGGCAAACCGTACAGAGGTGCAGTAAGTTAAGATACTCTCTATGGTGCAGCGGTAGAAGGTCACCACCAGTTTCTCATTCAGTTGTTGTTTCCCGAGAAGCCTCTGAAGTTTTCTGAGAAGTCTTAGGTAGTATCATCTCTGCTGGGCCCTTATTATTTTTGGGGAGATAGTACACACTTGAAAGAAAAGACATAATCTCACTATCGGCTGTAGTTCTGTTCAAAATAATGGTAAAGTCAGAATGAACGCCTTGATTCTAAATTTACTGTTTCTAAAATACACACATGCACACGATTATGGTCAAAGGTCATATTTAATAAGAATTGCAGTAGTGGGACATTCCCCCCCTTGTGAATAAAATGATGGGTTTCATTGCAGTTAAGGTTATGTAAGACACGAATACGCCATTTATTCTATATATTTAAACTTCTTCATACTTTCCTGGGCTGTGCTTACATTTGTCAGCATTATGAGTAGACTGGTTATTTTTAGCTTTTCTCTCCTCACCCAACCAAAGACGTTTACATTAAAGATAAAAGATAGAAATGATGATAACTCTACCCAACACCTACAGGTAGGATTCAACTTACAACTACAGTTGGAACCACAACTTCCATCGCTGAGCGATGCGGTTGTTCAGTGAGCCATGCCTCCCTCATTCTACCTTTTTTGCCCTGGTTGTTAAGCAAATAAATAACCAATTCCAGCTTCCTCCATTACACCTTGGCTTGTTGGGAGCCTCCTGGGTAGGTTGTAAATGGTGGGTCATATGACCCTGCGGCGCTGCAAACATAACATTCATGCCAGTTGGCAAGTCCTGAATTTTGATCATATGACTGCAGGCTGCCACGGATTGAGATTGTGAGGACCAGTCATAAGTTCACTTTTGTGTCATTTTGAATGGTCGTTAAATAAATGGTTGTAAGTTGGGGACTGCTTGTGTACTCTCAAAGAGTGTCGGGAGTGTTGAATCTCCCAGTTACGATGGCAAGCCAGGTGACTCCATGGGCCTAGTTATTTCACAGCAATTGGTCCACTGAGGGGGATGCACAGATAAAGAATTGTGAGCACACTGAGGCTTTGCCTGTGCAAGTTTCATGCAGCATGAGAGGTGCTGCCAAACTTTATCTGGGGTTTGCTCACACTTAGCTTGCACAACCCTAGTGCAGACTTGCCCAGGCAAAGAAGGAACATGCTCTGTTAAACCCTGTGAACATTAACTTTCAAAAGTTATATTCCTTCTTTAACTTGAACAAGTTTCAGTTCTTGAGGATAGTTTTGGTACCTTGTCTTCGTTCATCTAAAACTCCGTGCTCTGTCTGAATTGTTAAATATTCTGTATTGCATAGCAGTTTTTATTGACTCGCTAAAAGATGATCTACTGGTAATATTATTACAATCACACATTTTAAAAATTAAAATTGTCTTGCTTTTTATTAACAGGTCTTGGCTGTTCCACAATTCTTTCGCCTGAAGGGGCTGCTCAATTTGCTGCTCAGATTTTTGGGTTGAATGACCACTGTGTATGGGCCAAACTGCGATCCTGCATCCTGAATACATGGATCTCCCTAAAACAGGCTGACAAAAAGATGAGAGAATATACTTTATAGATGAATTCTAAAAAACCAGTTTCATTTCCACTTCCAGGCATATCATTCCTAGTATAAGTGCTAATGGGAAACTGTTCCTATTTTATGATAGTGTACAGGTGCCCTCTTGTGTTCTAAGCTATTGTAGACAACTAATCTTGTGTTTTCTACCATAATGTAACTTGAAAGCAGAGTTACGTGCATTGAGGTAGAATAGATCTTACTGATCTATGACTGGTTATTAAAGAGAAATATTACCTCTGTCTACTTGTAACCCCGTACAAAATATGCCCATATGGTGATTCTAAAATTTATATTAAAGCTAGCAGTGCCATTAATAAATGGACTAGTTTGCTTTTGTTCTAGAGTGGCCCATCATGAAATCAAATGTATAAGACAAATTATTCAAGATGTTAAAAAGTATTTCTTTGTGTGGAATGTTCTTACCAAAGCCTTTTCTATAATTAGTTTTAAATACAAAGGTGATAATATATAAAGCTAATTTAACAGTTGACCTTCAGATAGCCTTTGAGCAGGCCTTTATAACTTGTAAAGGGGAAAGGCCACACTGACAACTTAGCAATGCAGACCTTACATAAACACCTGGCACACCAGCCAGCTGTTTGATGGCGGGTGGGGATGGCAATGAACTTGGCAACTGAAGATTCGACTTGAAAAAAAAATGCTAGCATGCCACCTAAGGCTGCTTGGTGAGCCGTACTCAGTGGTCAATATCTTGTATAGAGCTGATTTTTGACCATGACCAGCAGGTTGACAATATATTTATCAATTACAAATTGAATACCAGGTTATCACTTACAAACACATGAGTTTGAAAGTAAGTCAGACTGAAGGCAGCATTGAATTTTAAGGTTAATTTCAAGACCAATTTACTGAAAACATGTGCCTATTTGGTTTCTAACACTGCCACCTATCGTCATGTAGAGGCAAGATCTATGCCCATATAGGGCTTCTGTCATCCCTGTTATTTTACAGTATATACTACTCCAGGCAAATAGCTGACTTGCTTGAAAACATCTAGTGATGAAACACCCATGACTCTCCAGGAGGCATGATTCCATTTTGATTAATAGCACAGGAAAACTACTGAATGCTTGGCCTACTCATCATTTTTAGGTGGTTCTATAACTACATCAAATATTCTACTTATTTTTAGTAGTATATGCTGTTCCATCCATCAACTACACATTAAAAATAATGAGTGTCAATTATTTATACAAAAGCATTATTTGCAAAGTTTCAATACAGCAGTTGTGCTGCTGGGCTAAAACGGGGAAGATACAGCTATGTTGAGCCAGCCGAGTACAATGCTGCTGTTCCATATGTAAAAATGAAGCTCTTGATCAAAAAGAGAGATTGTCAGGCTACAGAACTTTTCCCATTCACTCAACTAGAATGAACTCCTGAAAACGTATCAAAAAAGAATCCTTTATTGAGATGAGACATAAGGGAGTTTAGAACCCCTCCCCCCTTATCTCGATGTGTATTTAGTGAAACAAAAGCCAGTATGTTAATTCCTCCCCACCCCTTTTGTAAGGAAGTATCTTTTTCACTTTCCCAGGGCATACCTAATTTCCCCCACCCCCTTTTTAGAACAAACTTATTAAATTAACAAATTAAACAGTTTTGTCACTGACATAATTCAATGCCATGCTGACATAATTGAAACTACTTTCACCTAAGTTCTAGAAAGCATTGTAAATTCTACAATCCCCAAAATATTAAGAATTCTGATCACAGTTAAAAATATAAATTTTAGGTTTATTGAAAATTAAATATTAGCAAAAGCAAGTTTAACAAATAACTTTATAAAATGAATCACAATCAAGACAGACATTTGAGAAACTACAAAATGAATCTATTGGCAAGCAGACTGCCATCTTGTGTTTTGCAGTACAATTTAATACGAATAAGGCATGGAAATCTGCATTTTCAAACATCTGTGTTCCAGAAATTTTAAAAAAGCATACTTCAAGTAGTTCCCAAACATCTTACATTTAAGAGTACAGTGACACAGCAACAATTTTTAAAAATTACTGATCATTTTTCCAAATGCAGAAAATATTGGATACACTAAATTTTTCCATCCAAAGTTGGAGAAAAAGATCCAAATGGAGGAAGAAATCGGATTCTGAAAATGTCTTGCTGGTAAGTTCTTTCTAGCATTAGAAAATATTAAAAAGGGGGTTAAGTTACTCCAAAATCATACAGTTCCCTTGACTGTCTCATATGCTTCAAATATATGGAGGCTTCCTCAGACATGAAACAGATGTAAATTATTTCTTACAGAAGTGAGGACAAGAGGAGACCTCTACTTTTTCCTCTCTTAAATAATGGGAGTCCATGAAGCCTGTTAAAAGTTTCTTCATTGAGGCCCTACTGTTGCTATGTCTGCTTTTTTAAAATTTTGTTATATAGTGAACAGACTGTTTAATCTTAATTAAAACACTCTCTAGTAGTCATCTATGTCTAATTCTAGGCATACAATATATGTAACCCAGTCACAGTGGCAACAGCTTGAAGTAGTTTTGAAGTATGTTCTTTAACATGGCCCCAAATTCATGTAATTTCAAAAGAAAATTGTGCCAAATTTACAATTAAATATTTAAAACAGAACTTTGCTCTACAAATAGACAATACATTTAAATAATTGTGCAAATAGCAACAAGGTGCTGCAGTAGCTGAGGCAACTTCTGATTTGCAAGATTTTGAATTCATCTTTAATAAACTTGAACTGACAAATTTTAAATCTTGCACTTTCCACCACAGTAGTCAGTGGAAATTTTTTGACAATGATACATTCCATTTGTATATAGTGCAAATAAATATTTTGCAGCTAGATTAATTTACATGCAATATTAATGGCATCCTTCTAATTGAACAACTATTGATATAGGAAGCATTTTCCTAATAGTTCTCAAATCAGGACTAAAAGTGCAAATTCTGCAAGAAAAAAAAAACAGCTGAAGTTACAGCCATGTTGTAATATTAAGGTCCAGGTAATTAATTATTTGGTCTCTGGTCTCTGGAAAAATAGGTCAATATAGCTTGAATTTTTATCAAACGTTCTCTCAAAGACCTCATAGAAAGCACTGAAAGCTGGTATTTGGGATCCACAGGAAGAACAGCTAGAAGCCACCAACACCATGCAGGTCCATCAGCTGTTTCCTAAAAAGAAGAAACCAAATTAAAAGAAATTAAAAGAATATTAAAACTTAAGACATTTAGGACAAAAATATAATGATGTGGTTATGTAATTGAGTTTCAAAAGGAAAGTATTTTGTAAATTTAAAAATACAGTCCTCTTTGACTATCTTTTTTTCACAAAATGCAGAAGTAAACTACTTAACACACTTAAAAAAACAAGTATGTTTAAAATGCTAGGTGAAATGTAGTCAGCAAAATTCCAGATCTAACTTTTTAAAATGTTAGAATTAATCCAGACTGGATCCCCCACCGCCCCAGCTTTTTCAGTTATGCAACTTACCTCTCAGGGTTTTGCACTTCCTCTATTTGTCTCATCTTCCTTAAATCTGCTAATTTAGTTACTGTATTACTCTCTTTACTAGAAAAATAAGTGAAGGTCACACTGATAATTGTCTGATACTATAGTCGCTAAGTACCTGCAAGTTTTCTTCCTTCTCTGGCATTGGACCAAAGTACTGAAGTATTTGGCTATGAAATTTATTTCTTAAGCTTTGAAACCAGCTACAAGCCTGGTTGTAAACAATATTATGGAGCTCTTGCAGTTTTCTCATCTCACCTTCATCTTTAACCTGCACATCAAGAAAGTATAGTGTAATCACTACATTAAAATTTTAGCCATGAAACTATACAAATTACACAGCTGGCATGGTATATAAGAATGAAGAGTTCAATCTTTACAAATGGAAAGGGGGGGAGGAATTAATTACAAGGAAGCTCACTTCAAAATACCAGCAAGTAGGATCCCAAAGCAAGTTGGTGTGGTCAATCATTCAAAGCTTTGAGAACTGAGAATGAGCTACTGGCTTAAGCAGTATTTTCCATCTATTCCTTTCTCAGCTGGGTTCTGAATGCCTTCCCAAGTTCACTTAGCAACTGGTTTCACATGACTGATTTTCAGTGTTCTCTGTTGGCTTCCCACAAGCAGTCTATGAAGAAGCAGTCACAAGCATGTAACGTCCTTGTGGTCCTGGTTCAATGATGGCAACCAGGATTGTTGGAATTGTCGTAAAAAGTGTGATCATGTGATATTACTATTTATGACATTTCTTAGCAATAGAAATTTCAGTTCCAACTGCCATCATAACTCAAGGATTGTGACTTATGTGTGTGTTTCTATAGTCTACATTAAGTTGTGTTACTAAAATTAACAATACAGATAGTCCTAATGACCAAAGATACAACAGCACTGAAAAAAGTGGCTTATGACCATTTTTCACTTACAACTGTGGAAGCACAGGGTCACATGATCAAAATTAAGATGCTTGGCAACTGGCGTATATTTATGACAGTTGCAGGGTCCTGGAGTCATGTGATTACCTTTTGTGACCTGACAAGCAAAGTCAATGGATAGTCAGATTCACTTAACAACTGTTACCAACTTAACAACTACAGTGATCCTCTTAACAACTGTCGCAAGATAATCATAAAATGGAGCAAAACTCACTTAACAGAACTAATGGGCTCAATTGTAGTCATAAGTTGAGGATGACCTGTAACAGTTTCAAATTGGGAAAAGATCTGCTTGTTGTAGCCAAAAAGGATCTTATAATTCCCTATAGAATCTATTTCCATGATTTCTTAAGGAACATCCAAATAATCTACTTGGTCCCAACAAAAATGAAGCAGCATTTTGAGAAATAAGAGCATCTGAGGCTGCTGCTTTAGTTTGCAGCATGCTCATTCTCTTTATTATTATTTTTTTAATGAAAAGAACCCTGGATTATAAGGCCTTTCACACAAGTTATTCATGACTGAGTCAACAGCTTGGACTATTGCAATGTGCACTAGATCAGGGGTCCCCAATCCCTGGGCCACAAACCGATACCATTAGGAACCGGGCCACACAGTTGGGAGGTGAGTGAGCAAGCAAAACTGAAACCTTCCCCTCCCTTGCCAAAAAGTGTGGGGACTGCTGCACTAGACTACTCTTAAAAGATCACTCATAACTACATGGGCAAAATGTAACTAATGTGTTAGTTGGGAAGTTCCCATGTTCATGTCAGCTTTGTGAGCTGCCTGGCGAGTGGTGGGTTTTCTGGTGTGATTGGTCCCTTTCGCTTGTTTAGCTACATATCTACCTTTCTGCTTTCATTACGTATACTATAAGACTAAGTAGAGCTTGTCGTACTCTAGCTGTATTTGAACTCCATAGCCATTCCTGTCAATGAGTGATTCTGGGCCGTGTACATCATAAAACATACAAACCAAAACAACTAAAACAATTGATACCAGGTGTAAAAGCATGGTCATCCAGTGACATCGAGGAGACCTGTCTTCTCTGCAGCTGCACCTACCCTATGGAACAGTGTTCTCCCTGGGCTCCATATGGCTGCAACTCTTCTGTAAAACCATGGCTCTTTCAGCAGGCCCTGGGACAGGGTAAGAGGATCTGCTCCAGGACAAGGCTAGTCACTTTCATGGTTTTCACTAAGCTGCTTTATTCTTTCCTCAATTTTCTTTAGCTGAAATGTAGCTTTCAATTCAAAAATAGATGTAGGCAACAAAATAACGGATGGCCTCAAGATTCCAAAAATGTTCAATAAATCTCAGCATCAAAATTATTATATCCTAAAAAAGGACACTATCTAGTTATTGGTTTAATCAACAAGCACATAATTACTATATTACATATTTATTAATATTTTGATAACTGTATTTGAGCATAATTGGTTTCTTTTGCAATGTGAGCTATATGTATGCATTTTATATTTCTTTAAATACGTATTTCTGAGATGTCTGTATCTCTCACAAATCCATAAAGGGATCCATGGTCGCGAAACATTTAAGAACCTCTGTCCTCTATAAACAACAAATTAAATCAGTAACTTACTAATGTAGGATCTAAATGGAATTCTGTATGCTGTCACTCACTGAAAGAGTCCCTCCCTCCTATCAAATTAAGGGAACACTGCACATTGGACTATGGCTACAACAGTCAAGGTGTCTTCTTGTAGAGGCAAAATAGATAATTTTATGTACCTTTATATCTTCTAAATCCTCAATGTCTGCAGTGCAATAACCATCCTTCATTCCTCTTCGAATAACTTGGAATCTCTTTAATCCAATTGTATCAACAACAGATCGCCCATCTGGCAGATAGTCAAGATTTCTAATATACAACAAGCAGCCGTAATCTGCAAATCTACAAAAAAGTGATAGTGTTGTCAATGGTCAGCTTAAAAATATTTTATACCTTTTGGTTGTGTGATTGTGAATATAAACCTACCCATTTTGGGGGTCATGTACACACATCCCAAATTGTTTTGTTCCAGTTTCTATACTTCTTCGAATCATCAGTCTATATCTTGGTTCAAACACATGGAGGGGGCAAGGCACAGTAGGGTAGGCCAAAGTGCAAACAAAGATAGGAACATTCCTGGTCAAGCTTAAAACAGAATGCAGAAAATAAAATGTTAAAATTAGAATTCTACCCACGTAGGAAGATTTAACTCGAGATATCTAATTCCTGGCCAATATCCCTTTCCCAAACATTGCCTTATATCCTTGTACATTCTCTTCAAAGTGAATGGACCACTAGTCCAAAGCACTCTGTGTCAAATTGTGGCTTCGAATGGACTATCATTCAACTTGTAAAATTATAAATAGCACTATTTTTCCTTATATTAAATACATAATATTTTCTCTAGTCTCCTGCATATTAATTCTTACATAATCACAAACTCTTTCAGTTGCTTAAGTCTTGGTTAACATAATATTAACATGGAATGTTAGAAATCTTATTCCACTTAACTGCATAAATGGATGTTTCTTTACTAATTTTTTTCAGTTTAGTTTTGTAGTAAAAATGTACATATTATTCTGTATGATTACTGACCAAAATAGTTTATTCTTTGTTCTAAATGTCTGTTAACAAGCTGCACTGCACACAAAAGCATATGCATATACAAACACACATACCTTGAGAGTTCAGCTATTTCTTCGTCATTAATTCTTTTTCTCTCCGATAATTCAGTAGGCAAATACTTCAATATTAGATCTTCTAGCAACCGTGTAGTGCTGTATTCCCCACGTGCCAAAAACTAAACGAAAGATAAATTGTTACGCTATTATAATTTCTTAAATAAAAACTGGTTTTTTCATATCATTTCTTATTTTTCTTATCTTTCCTATTATTTTTCCTATTACCTATTCCTTTTATCATCTTATGACTATCATTTTGTTGTTGTATGATTTATGTTGACCATCATTGAGTATTCCTTGTGTGTCCAATCACACTTGACCAATAAAAAACTCTAATTCAGTTTTAAAGAATTAAGCAGAAAACAGCTGACCACACTGAACTTTATCTCTTTTATACGTTCAGAGAAATATATCATGCTAAATGAGTGAATGAATTTTCACTGTTGGTGTGGGTCATCTGATAAGTGTCCTTTCAACCAACGTGGCTTGCAAACAAGAAACTCATGGTCCAACACTTCCTTGCCTTATTTTTAGAAATTCACAAAAGTAGCAATCGTAGTATCTGCTCTTTCACTTGCCAAAATCCAAGTCTAGCAGCTGACTACTAACTCTTTTAATGCTTGGAGGTCTGGTTACGCTCCTTGCACTTGTATGTTCCAAGGCTTCCACTATATACACAGCACTGCATAGTAATACATAGTGCTCAAGCAAGGCCTGGATTAAGTAACAACACTGGCATTATCTGGAAATAGAATATAATCTCTTTTAAGGAAATCTCCCCATGTTGAGAAACTGTTAACTCTTGCTATTAATTCCCCAGTTTTATGAAAAAGATGTAAAGTAGTTCATAACTAAAAAGCAATGATATTTTAGCATGCAGTTACTCATTTTTATATATTTAAAATAATAAATGTAATAAAATTCTTACATGTTAATATTGATTTTGGAGAATCTTAACATGCTTGGAGATCTTGATAAAACTTAATATTAATCTACAGTCTTTCTTACATTTTTAAGTGGAAGATGTTGCAAATGCCATTTCTATTCACAGAATAAATGGTTATTACAATTCCACCAGCCCTTTTCAGCTTTTGATTCAAACTCTGCTTTATGATAAATGTGTCTTATAAATGTTCATAAAGAGCATTACCTCTGTTAAGTTTTCTTTACAGAGGGGACACTCTGGAGCATGGTCCAAACAGCGTTGTAAACATTTCTTGCAGAATGTATGGCCACAGGGTGTTGTCACAGGATGAAAGAACAGCCTGAAAACATGTTGCAAATTTTAGTGAATTATCATTAAGATGTAAATACAAATGAATCAGAAAAAAGTAATTTGAAGGATGCACACAAAAACTGTTACTAAAAATAGTTCTCAATTTATGACCACAATCAAGCCTAAAATTCCTGTTGTTAAGCAAGACATTTGTTAAGTGAATTTTGCTCCATTCTACGATCTTAATTGCTACAGTTGTTAAGGGAAACATTGTAGTTGTTAAGTTAGTCACATGGTTGTTAAGTGAATCTGGATTCTTCGTTGACTTTGTTCTCAGAAGATCACAAAAGGTGACTACATTAACCAGGGACATTGCAACCAACATAAATATGAACCAGTTGCCAAGCATCTGAATTTTGATCATGTGACCATGAAGATGCTGCAACAGCCATAAGTGTGAAAACTGGTCATAAGACATTTTTTTCAGTGCCATTGTAACTTTGAACAGTCACTAAACAAACTGTTCCAAGTCGCAGACTACCTGTATTTATTAGTTAGGTTAGAGACAGGAAACATTTTTACTAGCAATTTTATTTTATTTTACTATATTTGTGCTTTTAAATCAGTGCTGATTCCTGGAGACTGTACAAGTCTCTCCAGTTTTCTTATTAAGAATTCAGAAGTGATTTGCCATTGCTCAATTTCTAGCCTGATGCCTTAACCGCTATCCCAAACTGGCTTTCCAGCAAAGAAAACTAAAAACAGGAAAACTTTTATAAATTTTAGAAACTTTTACACATGTATCAAGCCAATTTTCTTTCATTTCAAACTGAAAATAGGTGGATATTACGCTATTATTATTTATGTCATTCTGGGGACTCCTAAATACTAGTAAAAATTATCTGAGGCCACCCAGACCTACAATAAGCTAATTGCTAAGCATACATTTCAAACAAAATTTGGCCAACAAAATGTGGTTAGAATTTAAATAGCCTGAAACCTCACCTTATTTTGCAGTCTTATTAAGGGACTTTGAACAAATCATAGAGCGTTTTTATAAAGAAATGATTTTAGTAGTTCTGTGCACTGAGTTTAATGTTAAAGCTTCTACTATATACTATGATAAAAAGATCATAAATGTTGAAATCAGACTGTATTACCTCAAACACAATGAGCATTCAAAGTCTGTTACATCAACCAAATTTTCTGGAACTATTCCACAAGTGATTGAAAAGGTATCATTCCTTTTTGGAGTTTCTAAACAAATTAAAACATGAAATAGTGCATAACTCGTAAAACAATACATGTGACCAAATATTTATTTTCTTGTTTCCATCTTCACAAATAGTAGCATTTTGTTTGGAAAAAGGCAACTTCCTTTCAAAATAAGTACCTTTCTCTTGGCCAGAAAGCAATGGTTCAGAAGATACTCTTTTTAATACATTGTCTTTGGCATCTTTTTCTACAGAATCAAGAGAATTTGCAGACTGGGCACGTTGCAAATTTCCTCCAATGTCTAGTATCACTTGTGGCTCTTCTAAGACCTATAAGAAAACATGAAGAAACAAAACCTATTTGCTACATTTTTTATAATGATATAGTAACTAATCCACCAGCAGATTCAGTTTTCAGTATTGTATCTTTATTTCTTGAACATATGGACTGACCATGTCAATGACATGTTGAATATAGTTAATCAGCATTAAACGTTTTTAAGACACAAACAGATATATGGAACACAAATCTAAAACCAATGACCTTCATAATTATTTTGCATGAGTATTTACTTACTGACACTGGGGTGAGCTGTAAACAATCATAAGACTCTTCCATTTCAGATGCAGAGCTGTGTTTAAGTTGTTTATTTCGAACATATGAAGTATTTAAAGCAGATTCTTTCAATGTTTCACTAATGTTTTCTGGGGACAGCAAATTATGCAATATCTATAAAATTGACATTAAGGAATAAAATGTAATGATTACATTTCATATGTAATAAAAATTGATTTCTTCAATACTGTCCCAATATTTAGACATTAAATAGCTCATCATTCTTCCACAATCTGAAAGAAGTCTCAGAGTAACCAACAATTATTTATCCTAATGTTATTCCATTGTGTAATGTTATTCCATGCATACTTTTATAGATGCAATTTTATGATGACATTTTGTTTGAATATTAGTTATCTATAACATTAATTAAAATGAAAGCAGTAGTTGCATAACAGGATTGTATGGTCCTCAGGTACCTCCTAGAGCTGTGGTGGCGAAGCTATGGCATGTGTGCCACAGGTGGTACGCAGAGCCCTGTGGGCACATGTGCCGTTTCTCCAGCTCAGCTCCACCACACATGCACGCGTGCCTCCCGCCAGCCAGTCTTCGGGTCTCTAACACGCATGCACAGGGGCAGGGGATGCATGCAGGGGCGCAGCACACCTTGCATTTGGGGTATGTGCACACAAGCACAAACAGGCACATGCATGTTTTAGGGGAAATTGCCTACTCAGTGCCCAAAAGTTTTGCCATCACTGCCCTAGATCTATTGTGTGATACAGAGATTATAATTCTTAGATTTTGTCAGAGGGTTTTGATGGCATAAATAAATAAACCAAAATTACAAAAAACTTCCCCTAAAATCACTTCCCATCTCAACAGCATGAAAATCTGTTTATTATTTTCAATCATGATCTGCCACCTTTCCAACCTAATTTCTTAAATAAAAAGAAGTCTGACCAGAAAAGCTATTTATAAAAATGTGTAAGTACCTTTTTTGCTTCTACTTTAGCTAAAACAAATCCTTCATCAAGAGATAGGCAATGAAGAAAGACCTTTAAGGCATCTTCTACAGAACCAGCATTATTAAGTATTGTTGCTCTTCTGAAATATACCTGCAAGATGATTTTATGTATAAATATAAGACACATTTATTGTGATTGAATATACTATACAAACCTAATCCTAAGCATGTTTTCTTTTCTGAAGCTGCTAATACTTCCTGTTCCTAGGTTTAAGTTTTTAAAAACACTGCTAGATTCCTTGATGCTAAAACTAGAACTAAAATAAACATACAGACATGAAGCTAATGGAAAACAATAATATACTACATTACATAGAGAGGAAATATTTTGGTCCAATTTTAAAATATATAATTACATCTGCTTTATTTTATTAAGCATTTAAGAAAAGGTAAGAAAAATAAAGCATAAAGTGGATAAAGATTGAATATATAAAATAGTATTAAGTTTTAAATATTTCATTGATTAGTTTTTAATAACAGATTATATTGTTTTAAAAATTACAAATCACTGTAAGAATCCAAGTAATATAAATATCAACAGCAATAATGCAGATAAATTTAAAAATGAGATTAAGTTTTACAGTGCTTCCTATCCAAGTAATTGAAAACTTTGTATTAAGAGAAATCAAAATTTGAGATGTGATACAAGATGTAGATAAAGTTATAATACCAAAATGGTTTCCAACTTGAATTCTGCATTAGATTTACATTTGAAATGCAGTTATTCTGGATATTATAGTGCACTCCCAAGGCTTAAGTAGCCATTTTTCTGCAGAAATAAGTGGGTTCCAATAAGAAACTTACAACATCCTTACAATATTTACTATGTATAAATCTAATTTGGTATATTTTGTTTGAATATCAGGTTTAGTGATATTTTAAAAAATATGCTGGAAATGGAGCTTCTTAAATTTGTTTTTTACTATTAAAAATAATTCCTAAAATTTGTGGAGCTTTACTCCATTGCCAGTAGCTACAGCAAAACAATTCAACACAGCCATTATTTTCCAACAATTTTTGAAAATGGACAATTCCATAGAACCCAGAAAATGTTGCCAAGAACATGGGTTTTAAACTTTTTCAGGCTGCAGGGACCTGTATATTAAACAAACAAAAACCCTGGAGCCATTGAGGAATATAAAGCCATGAGAGACTACAAGTTAAAAAAAAATTGATTTAAATTCATTATACTTACTTTAAAAAACAATTTTAAAAATCCCAAACAAAACAAAAGCAGAACTACTTTTGGGCATAATTTATTATTTCTTAATGTTGGCCTCTTAGATACATTATGGAAAAATACAAAACCCTATGCTAAGTAACTTCATTTTGGGTTTATACTTACCTCAGGCCAATTTGGCATTTTAGCAGTAACAGCATTCAGTTCATCTAGTGCAGATTTAAATTCTTGAAGACTAGCATAAGATTCAGCTCTGTAAATTCTTAACATTAAATCACCGGGATCTAAAAAAAAATGCACACATATTTAGAACATAGTTTACTGAATCCAATTGTAAAACTCTATAATTTAAACAGCGTATGTAATATAAATATAGAGAGCTAGTTTGATCTAGTGGTTCAGGCACCCAGTTAGAAACCAGGAGATAGTGAGTTCTAGTCCCAGCCTTAGGCTTGAAAGCCGGCTGAGTGACTTTAGGCCAATCACTCTCTCTCGGCCCATGATGTCAGGCTTGGGTAACAATCCCTATCACATCCACTGGATCAATATTTGATTGATCTTGCACCTGTGAGGAAAATAAGAAAAAAGTAATAAACCTAGAGAATAGATATTCAGACGGTAAGATAATCATGCAGGAAAATGCCTCTATGATTGAAGAAGTAGATCGTAATTTACACAAGATCATATGTATATATATTTCTGAATGGGCTAAAAAGCAAAGAGGGCATAATTCAATGCTTCCTGTCTTTTTTTTCAGCAGTACATTTTGTAACTGATAGTTCCATAAAACATTTGCTTACAAATACGAAAAAAGAACAGCCAAAATCAATGCAACTTTTGAATAAAAGTTTACTAAGCTTCATTTTAAAGGCTATTTGCTTATGGCAGGGATATTAGGACCATGCTAAAGAATCATGCTATAATTGTATCTCCAATGTCATGGGAAGTTGTGACATTGTAAAGAATTTACATAATTTTGAAAGAACCCTCAAGTGCTAATTGTAAGAAGCACAAGGTTTTTTAAAATAGCAACTTAAATATATTTACAAAGAATTTAAAAGAAAAACACTATTTTTCTTTTGCGAACCTAGGCATAATCCACATTACTTATGCGAACCTAGGCATAATCCACATTACTAGATTAAATATTTTTGTCTTTCTTTTCTAATGTGTGAGTAATGGTGAGGGGAAAATGAAATTACATTAATATTCAAACATTCTTCTGATAAGGTTACATCAAAATCTGCACTCAATGACTCTATATGAAGAAAGCAAGGCAAAGGCAGCACACCAAAATTATATAATTGCTGTCTTGGTGACACAACTTTAGTCAATAATTTGCAGCAATTTTTAAAACTGTCATAAGGCTTTATTACTCACACTTGGAATCTTATTGTGTTAATGCACAATAATAGAAAGCATTTGGAGTAGAGCTGAAGTCCTTCAAAAATGACCTCTTAAGACCTGGTATTTCCAACTTCTGTTAATAAAGTCCAATGCTAGATTATGTAAACAAGGCGCATTTTAAAAGCATTGTATTCTATTGTATCACACTTTTACAAAAATAACTTATAGTATGCTTTTGCATAAGGTTACTGCTGCTCTGCTCCATGCATATTAAGTCAGACTGCAGATTTTACTGCAGTTATTTCTCATTATCTAATAACCGTATCTCACTCAAAATCATCCTTTATAAGGCATATAAATGCCGTGAATTGAACGTTTTTAATGCTTTGCAATTCATATATATATATTAACTGAATTCCTTGACAAAATGATCAAGTGTAAAAAAGATCCTTCCTCAATATGAAGAAATTTGGTTTCAAATAGTTGAAACTATGCTAACCTGATTGTTTCTTTTCCTGCACGTTTTTAATTTTAGAAAACTGCAATATGAAGTTCACAGAATCTTAAGTACAAAATAAAAACTGAACAATGTTCATAAAGAGTATTTTTTACACATGTGTGCACTTAAATCTATAGTATGAGAAATCAGAAAAACAATCAGATAAATTTAGTGTCATGATGGCTACCCATCTGTATACATAAGGAAATAAAGCAATATAAATATAATTAAGTACCTTTAATATTTTTCACATTGCACTCTAAGTACTTACTATTTAAGAATGCTCTAAGGTGCTAACTGAATTATACTAATCTCTTGACCTTGGTATATATAAATCTTTTCCCAGCGATGTATTATGAAAGCCCTATCTGCCTATCTATGGTATCACCAATATTATACAATATTTCCCTTTCCACACCCACATTTCCTTATGTAATCGGCACCAGCAGGTGAATTAACGCTTTAGGGAGGCAGCATATAATCTTCCTTTCCTTAAAATTACTAGGTCACAAGTGATTCATAATCCTCCAAACAGGTATAGAAAGTATAGAAAAACATTTTCAAGGTATTTCCTAAAACATATTAGATTGTCCAAAGATTTCCTTATATTACAGAGCATAAATTCTGAATGACTTTTGAAATATGGCTGTCTCTGGACAATTACAACACAATGTAACGGGTCTCTCAGTTGCTACATTAACAATGCACAGCCTGAAGAATGCATCTAAGTAAACTTTGGCGCCCATCTGTCCCTGTAAGGAAAATAAGTGTGTCAACTTTTTGTATCTTCTGCAGAATTGTATACAGCCAAGTATAAAACAAAGAACTTTGTTGCGATATTGCTAATACGGCAAACCATTTTAGGATAATTACCCTTTCACATCTCACGGTAAATTAATTTCAGATTAGCCTTTTTATCTTTACATACACATTAAGAAAAAAACATGGTTTGTTTCCTGTCTAAAATCTCTATTTCTTACAGCAGCAAGCCAAAATACTGGTGGCCCTGGACTTATGACCACAACTGAGCCCGGACTTTTTGTGGCTAAGTCAGAAATTTGTTAAGTGCGTTTTTCCCCACTTTACGACTGTTCTTGCCACGTTTGTTAAGTGAATGACTGCACATGTGAAATTCAGATGTGAAATTAGTAACCTTCTATTCAGTGAATCTGGGCTTCCCAACAAAATTCAATGAATTTCAAAATTCAATGAATTTTGTTCAGTGAATCTGGGCTTCCCAACTTTTCTCTCCTTTTTAAAACAAATTCTTTACTTCACTTGCAAAAAGATCACAGAAGAGGATTGCATGACCATCAAAAATACGAACCGGTCGCCAGGCATCCGAATATAAACCAAGCCACTGAGTGGAGACGCTATTAACAGTCGTGTGAAAAAAATGGGCGTAAGACACTGCAGAGCTGTTGTAACTTTGAACGGTCACTCAAGTGAACTGTTATAAGTCGAGGACTACCTGGGCTGGTATCCGAGACTGCTGGAATGGATTGAAATTGGATTGACTTGTAGATACTTTCACTGAAAAACTAGCTTGGACTTTCCGGTGCAAAAAATAAAAAGAAGCAGCAGTAGCAAAGACAGCATTTCATTGTTACACAACATAATCCAACGAATCTATCTTTGAATTTGGAGAAGCCCCAAACAAGCCGGGCGGTGGGGGTTTCCCCAACGTCCCGGGGTCACCGCAGGCACGAAGCATCCAATCCTGCTTTTACGGTATAACATTTACATTTGGTTGATTCCTTCAACTCTTTTTTTAAATTTATTGCCTCAGCTAGGAAGAGAACATTAGGCTTGAAAGCAGACTAGTTTTTGAGCCCAGTGTAGTCCCTAACTCAACTGCTAAAGGGAGGATGCTGGCTAGTTCAACAATCCTACTATGTCCACCAAGCCATGAAAGTAGTGTGGGAAGGTGAGCAAAGGAGAGTGAGAGACAGATCTAAATTCCAAAGGCCACATTCAAGAGAATTAAAAGCCAAATAAAAGGAACAGAAAATAAAAGGATATACAAATCTAAAACAGTAGAACACAAATCAACCCATGGAACAGAAGTTGCCCTCTTTTGGAAGTTGTGGGAGCTTCATCACTGGAAGCTTTCAAGAAGAGATTGGACTGCCATCTGTCAGAAATGGTGTAGGGTCTCC